TGCTCCTCTAGGCCAGGTTAGCCTCCTGCTGAGGCCCACCTTTGGCCTCTATCTTGGAAGGGATTTTACCAAGGCAGCAGTCCTTTCTTGCTGGAGCTGAACCTGGCCAGCGGGATCCCTTGGGGATTCAGCCTTGAACTGCCAGGTCTCAGGCTAGACAGACCCCCTGCCCCTTCTTCCTCTGCCCCATGTCCCTCTCGACCCCCCTCTACCCTGCCAGCGTACCTCCTGCTCCGAGGAGACGGGGATGTAGCTCAGGTTGGGCACGTGCAGCTCCTCTGTGTACTGGCTCATCCGCCGGATCTCCAGTTCAGATGCTGGATCCGGCCGTGACACCAGCAGGTCCCGGAGCGACTCGTTGTAGATCTCCAGGAAGTTGGCGACAAACTGATACTGAGAAGGGAAGGGAGACCCCTCAGGCCAGAAGAAGGAAAGCCCCCCCCTCAAAAGGCCATGGGGTGGGGGAGCCCAAAAGGTCCCTGTCCAGGTCCCGAGGCGCTTCCGAGAGGACCTCTGAGGGCCGGCGTCTCTTTGGATGCCACTCAACCAAGCGACGTGTCCCTGGTTTCTTCTCCCCCCCCCTCCCGCGGTGGAAAGATCCCCCACCCCACAAAGGCTCACCTTCCAGCCCTTGGCCTCCATCTCGTGGGCGGCTCTGAAGACCTGCCGCACAGCCCGGGGGATCATGCCGGCCGTCTCGGGGGTCAGGTCGTCGGGGCCTTCCATGGTGTAGGTCTTGCCACTCCCGGTCTGCCCGTACCCTGGTTTCTTCTCCCCCCCCCTCCCGCGGTGGAAAGATCCCCCACCCCACAAAGGCTCACCTTCCAGCCCTTGGCCTCCATCTCGTGGGCGGCTCTGAAGACCTGCCGCACAGCCCGGGGGATCATGCCGGCCGTCTCGGGGGTCAGGTCGTCGGGGCCTTCCATGGTGTAGGTCTTGCCACTCCCGGTCTGCCCGTAGGCGAAAATGCAGACGTGGTAGCCGTCCAGGGCAGACTGCCGGGGCGGGAGAAGCAGCGGTCAGGCCCACACGGAAAGGGGCCCGGAGGCCCCCTCGCCACCCTTGCCCCTCTAGGGAAGAGGCCTCCCCCGGCTCCCACCTGGACCAGCAGCGAGATCTCCTCAAAGACGTCTTCCTGAGAGCTGGACGGCGGGAAGACCCGGTCAAAGTTGAACTCGTAGCTGATCTCCTCTTTGCGTTCACGGCCGGTGTGAGACTGTGGGGAGAAGGGGCAGCCGTGAGAGGCCGTGCTGCCTTGGTTGCCCTCAGCAGCCCCCGCTGTAGATCTAAAGGACCTCCACCCCCCCGCCTGCCGCGGAAGCCCTCTTCTCATAGGATCAGGCGGCTTCTTCAAATCACACACAAGAACCTCCCAACATGCAAAAGGCTCCCACATTTTACTGGGTGCAAGCTTCTACAGCCCGCATCTGGCTTGGATTCTCTTTGCCCGTACATCAATGTAGCTACACAGACACCCCCTCCCCAAAAAAAGGGTCTCTTTACAGATCCCCAGTTAATGACGGAGCCTTAGATACCGACGCCTTTATTACAGCCCAAATGCTCGTTCAACGGCACAGAGGCTTTCATGGCCTGAAAAGGACCAAGAGCTAACTGGGCTTCTCGGAGACCCTCAGACTCTGCGGGTTTTGTGGCAACAGACAGAGACGACTCTTCCGTCTCCGTCTCTGTTGGGCAGATCCAGCCCGGGTGGCTCTTGGACACTCTGGAAAGAACGCCAGATGGTGAGGAAGCTAGAGAAGGAAAGCGTGTTCTTCCTCCATGATGCCCGTGGTCCTTCTCTGTGGCTGTTTCACTTTGTTGGGTCTTCTACCCTGCTTTGACCCAGAGAAACTGCTCACTTGACGGCGGTTTCCAGCAAAGCATCTGAGGGGCTTCCCTCCCTTCCTTGCCCCACCAGCGTTCCCATTCCACACACACACACGGAAATAAAGGCAGGCTCCCTTGCAGCAAAGCATGCTAGGACGTGACCCCCACCCACCCACACACACTCCAGGGCCCACCTCCTCCTCCCGGGAGAGCACCAGGCTCTTGTTGTTGTCAGCCGGAAAGCTCAGGTGATTCATCTCCTTCTGGGCCTCCTTCTCCCCGCGGAGCAGGGGGCGCACGCGGCAGAAGACCCGGATGTTGCCCTGGGAGACAAGAGAAGGGGGCCCATCAGTGGCTCAGCCGCACCGCTTCGGCCCCACCTTCCCTCCGGACCCCTCAGGCTCCCCCCCCCACTGGGCACCTCACCTTCAGCTCCTGCACCATGTTGTGGAGCTGCCGGCGCTCCATCTCGGAGTCGTGCAGCTTCTGTTCCAGTTCCGACACCCGGGCCTGCAGGGCCTGGTTCTCCTGCCCGCGCTGGGCCAGGTCCTTCTCCGCCTGGTGCAGTGCGGCCTGCAGTGGGGGACAGGGACAGGGAGTGAGAGAGGCCAACCTCACTCACCGAGGCCAGCCAGCCGGCCGGATCCAGATCTTACTCGACAAGGGAGCATCCATGGAAGAAAAATGGGCAAAAATAACCACTACAGCCACCGAACACGCTGCACATGGGAACCCCGGCTGGGGGGCGGGAGGAGCAGGCCTCACGCTAGGCAGTGAGACCAAGCACAGGCTCACTTGTGTGGCTTCCAGTTGGGTGGCCAGGCCGGCCTGGGCTTCCTTCATCTCCCGGTTGGCCCTCTCGAGCTCCTCGAGGGTCCCGGCCTGGCTGCGGACCCTCTCCTCCAGCTGCTGCTCCTTCTCCCGCAGTTCAGACACTCTCTGCAGGCTGTCCCGGGCCTGCGTTTGCCAGGCCTGCAGATCCACCGCCAGGGTGCTGCAAAAGAGGTGAGGAAACGGTCAGATCCTGACCCCAGGGAGGAGCACAGCAACCAGAACCCTAGGCAGGCTTCCCCACTCCCTGTCTGCCCCCTCTCTTTTTTTTTTCACCTGGCCCGGGTGCTCAGCTCCTCCTTCTGGGTGGTCACCTGGCTCAGCTCCCCGTTCAGCTCCTGCAGGTGGGCCTCCAGGTCCTCGTTCCTGGCCTCTAGGCCCTTGACCTTCTCCTTGTAAGCAGCCACCTTGACCTGAAGGTCACTCACTTGTCCCTTCAGGTCCCAGGGGGCTCGCTTCTTTCCTGCTGCACCGCCACCACCACCCGCAGCTCCTAGAAGAGCAGGAAAGGACACAGGCAAGCATGGGCACGGGGAGGGATGGGCTGGGCAAGAGGGGGGAGAGGTTGGACCCTGGACCACTGGCCTTTTCCCCACTCAGGCTGCTACCTGGTTCAGGAGGTGGAAAAAGGGGAGCTGAAAGAGGAAAGATGAGTGAGGGAGAGATCTCGCACACATGCCCCTCTGCCCACCCAGAGCCCAGGCCTCTGGCTCCTCACCTGCCGACGTTGCCACTGCCTTACCGGCAGCGGTGGCTGCTCCTTCTCCTGCCCGGGAAGACAATGGAAGGCGTCCTGCAAAGGAACTGGGTTAGCAAAGCCTGGAAGGTTCTTCTGTAAAGGGAGGCGGGTGTGAGGGGCGTAGGACTTCACCCTCAATCTCACCGACCCACTCACCAGACACCCTGCGGACGTTTCGCGCGACGGGGGCTGCAGGAGGAGCCCTCGCCTGGGAGGTGGCCGTGGACAGGGCACCTCTCTTGGCGGGGGCAGGCGGGCCCCGGGCCCGTTTCTGGAAAACAAGAGAGCGAGGGGGCAGGACGTGAGCCCTCTCTCCGAAAGCGGGCTGGACCCCATGATCCTCCATGTTCCCAGAGCTTTGTGACTCCTCTAAGAACTCAGCCCTGCTTGAGGGGCAAAATGCCCGGGGAGACTCACAAACTGGCCAGCTCCATGAACCAAGCAAAGGACAGGCTGACCACCCCACCCCCACCCCTGACACACACACACACACTCTCTCCACAATCTCACCCGAAGCGGCTGAGGGGGCTCATTCTCATTGGTAGCCGGCCGTTTGGGCCGCCGGTTAGAGACAGGGAGCCGAGAGCTGGCTTTCGCTGGGGGCGTGGGGCGCCCTCCCATTGCTGCGCGGACGCTCTGCTTTCCGAGTGGCCCCCTGGAGGCAAGGAGGAAAGAGAGAAAGAGAAGGGTCATCGCTCAGATCTTCGGCTGGGTGGTGCGGGCGCTGGTGATTCTAGATCAGCAGGAGTGTTTCTGGCTGGCTCATGCCCCGGGGCAGGAGAAGAATCTGCTGTGCACAGCCGCAACCTAACCTCAGCAAGAGAAGCCAAAT